GCAGGGGGCAGTCAGTTGTGGGTGAGGCTCCAGGTCACTGACAGAAGTCGCTGTCCAGGACTCAGGATGCTGAGACCTGTTGGCTCAGGCCTGTCTCGGGTGAGGCCTCCTTGCTTCCGCAGAACTGGAAAGTCCAAGGGCCTAATTCTAAAGCACTGGCATTAACGTAAGTCAGTGGGCAAGCCTGGCAGGGATGGGGGTCCTCCCTCCATCAGTCCCATCCCAATGGGCCTACACAAGTCAGTGGGCAAGCCTGGCAGGGATGGGGGTCCTCCCTCCATCAGTCTCATCCCAATGGGCCTACACATGCCTGTTTGCCAGTCTCACACTGTGGTTACAGATGCCCTGCTGTTGTTAGGAGACTGCACTCCAGCTCACTCTGACATCTTCAGAAGCAGGCCCTATCCCCACACTGTCTTCACAATGGGAGCCACACGCCGGGCACCCAGCACTAAGGATGGATGGGGACCGTCTCCTCAGTTGGCCACCAGGACAGCTGCTGATGGTGGCCTCCCAGCAATTACAAAACATCCTGTTAACTAGAGGACGCCTGCCGAACTCTCCCAGAGGGCAGCTCTCTCTCGGCCTTCCCTCCACAGTGCAGTCTGTGAGAACAGCCCAAAGACATTGCGGCTTTTAAAAAACGCACTCTTTTCTGTTGTATTTCCTAACAACTTCCCATCCTAGACAGCTCAGCACCTCCCGTCCTCGCTAACGTAGGGCATGGTAGGTAGATGGAAGAACTCCACACCAGGAAAAATGCTCATCTGTCCCCGTAACAGTTTCTGCAGGTCACAAACCTGTGTTCTCTGTATTATTTTTTCTTTATTGATCTCAGAGAGAGACGAAGGGAGAGGGAGAAAGAGATAGAAACATTGATGAGAGAGAACATCGACTGGCTGCCTCCTGCATGCCCCCCACTGGGGATCAGGCCCACAACCTGGGCATGTGCCCTGACCAGGAATCAAACCGGCGACCTCCTGGTGCATGGGTCGATGCTAAACCACTGAGCCACACTGGCTGGGCTGTTCTCTGTATTTTTTAAAGATGTAAATTGTATTCTATTTATTGTTATTAATGCAACTCACAGGAGATTTTTTTGTTGTTAATTCTCACCCGAAGATATTTTTCCATTGATTTTTCTTTTTTTAATCCTCACCCAAGGACATTTTTCCATTTTTTGTTCAGATAGAGTGGGAAGGAGAGAGAGAGAGAGAAACATCGATGTGAAGGGACACATCGAGTGGCTGCCACCCGCACGACCAACCAGGGCCGGGAACAAACTGCAACCAAGGTACGTGCCCTTAGCGGGAACCGAACCCGGGTCTCTCTGGACCGCAGGCCAACGCTCCAACTGCTGAGCCAAACCAGCCAGGGCTCCATTGATTTTTTTTTAGACAGAGTGGAAGGGGAGGAGGAAGAAGAGAGAGAAATATCAATGTGAGATAGATACATGAACTGGGCCTTCCATATGATCCTGACTGGGGCTGGGAATCAAACATGCAACCTAGATACATGCCTTTGAACGGGAATCGAACCCGTGACCCTTCTATCCGGGGGCCGATGCTCTGACCGCTAGGCAAAACGGCCAGGACTGACAGGAGGTTTTCAAGTTTCACCACCATGCCCTAAATTTGACTCTGAGTGTCCAAAAAAAAAGAGAGGGGAAAAAAACTAGATTAGAAGGAATTTTTAATTCAATATAATTAATAGCATTTTAATTATTTCTTTTTTTTTTAAGATATCCAAAGTTACCACGTCATTAACAAACATATAGCCTATTATTCTACTTTTCAAAAGAGTTGTTACTGAAATGATTTACATTTACATGTCTATTTCTTATTCTATTTCATAATAAATGTGAAGACATGATCCTCTACATGAGAAAAAATATAACCCCTGACGACAATTAAATCTCACTTAGAAGTTCACAATGTTTTAAATTGCACGTCCACAGGGAAATGGTGCTTTTCTTGTATCTGACGGACTTCCTCATCCCTCGTTGCCACATGCTGGTGGCTGAGTTTATAGTAAGGGGTGTGCTCCTTAGAGGAACCGAGAGGCGAGGTGACCACCACGAGGTACACGGGACTCAGAAGTGAGCGGAGGGCTGAGGAGCCCCGGGCACAGCGGCAGGCCGCCTGGGACAGGGCAGTCACAGGGCCATGGACAAGTGAGCGGGAAAGACTCCCTCCTTCACTCCCAGACTCACCACACTGTTCTCAAGCAGCATGCAGTGAGGAAGGATGGGTTGCCAGACCTTACACCTTGAAAGTAGTTTACTTTGAAAATGGCCGTGCCCGGCTGGTGTGGCTCAGTGGTTGAGAGTTGACCCTGCACCAAGAGGTCGCCAGTTCAATTCCCGGTCAGGACACATGCCTGGTTTATGGGCCCAATCCCCAGTGGGGGGCATGCAGGAGGCGGCCAGTTGATGTTCTCTCTCATCAATGTCTCTCTCTCTCTCTCCCTCTCCTTCCTCTCTCTCTAAAATCAATAAAGGAAAAAAAAATTTAAAAGAAAATGGCTGTGACGATACGGCAGAAAACAACAGGGAAATGGTACACGACACGTGTAGAATTTTCTCACAGGCAAAGATGTGGTGTTGATCACAGTTCTCAAACGTTTTGGTTTCAAGAACCCATTTCACAAAGTTATGGACAACTCTGAAGAGCTTTAGTGTGTGCAAGTTACAGCTCCCAGCGTGTGCCTCAGGAGAAATTAAACGCCAGAGCGTCTAACACACAAGAAGGCACACGTCAGCATTCCCATCGTATCCGAACGGCCCACGTCAGTGGCCCCTGGAAAACTCTGCTGTATTCTCTTGTGAAAATAGAGTTTCGAAAGGCCCAGGGCATCTTAGTAGTATCACTCCAGTAGTCAGACTCTGCGGACCCTCCTGAAAGGGCCTCAGGCTCCGGATGCGCTCTGGGGACTGCTGACGTAGACGAAAGCTAGGAGATTTTGAGAGTTTCCTTTTTTTTTTTAACAGATGCTTTTCTTAAGACAGGATTTGAATCTCTCCCATTTCTACTGAGTCTGATATAAAGATCAGCATCCTTTATTTATATATATATATATATAATATATATATATATATATATTATATATATATAGTTTTCCTGTTTATCTGCAGATGGAGTGGGAGGGAGTGAAAGGGAGAGAGAGAGAAACATCGTTGTGAGGGGGACACACAGACTTGCCTCTGCATGACCCTGACCAGAGCTGGGGACTAACTGCAACCAAAGTACGTGCCCTTGGCCCGAATCGAACCCGCAACTCATTGGTCCGCGGGCTGACGCTCTACCGCTGAGCCAAACCGGCCAGGGCTTGAGAGTTTCTTGAAAGGCCCCCAGCTTGAGTTTGTCAGGAGAAGAGGCAAAAGGGACAGGCAGGCCCCTGATGCTCCCACCCTTCACCCACTCGAGAACATCTACTTTTTTTCCCATATTTTATTTAACAGGATTCTAGATATGTCATCTTTCTTTGAATATAGAACTCCATGGAGGGGGCACCATTTTTAGGATGTGTGTTATGGGGGATAGTGCATGACAGAGAGAAAAACTCCCGAGGATTAGAGATTAGAGAAAACGTAGTCTTAATTTTTTAAAAGGAGATGTTTCCATTGAGGATTGACGCTTTCGTTGTAATAGCAGCAGAAACTTTAAGTTTTTTATAAGAACCCAAAAAGCATGTCAAATGAAAAAAAGTCCACGAAATACATATTAGCAAAGAATATATATTATAACAGTATATATAGTAATATTTATAAATCAGTGTATTGATTCAGAAATGATTCATCGAAAACCTACCATGTGCCTGGACCCGGGCTCGGCCCGCATGGTCGCTTTCGCGTTTCTGTGCGTTGCACGCCACAGGTGCTCTTTGGATCTGACTTCTTTTGCCCAGTATTATTCTGTGAGACCCAACCATATTGTTGAATGTCTTTTGTTGTTAATCCTCACTCGAGGACATTTTCCTGTTGCTTTTTTAGATAGAGTGGAGAGAGAGAAAAACATCAATGTGAGAGAGACACATCGACTGGCTGTCTCCCACATGACCCTGACTGGGGCCAGCAATCGAACCTGCAACCCAGGAACGTGCCCTTGACCGGGAATCGAACCTGACACCCTTCAGTCTGCGAACTGACTCGCCAACTGCCGAGCCAAACCAGCCAGGGTATGGAATGTATTTTTAGACTATACATCCTCAGTGCTACATACAGCCCACTGCGTGAAATACGCACGTCACGATTTATGTATTCATTCCACTGTCGGGGTTTTTGAGCCATTTCAGCCACAGAAAACCAGAGATGCTCTGTTGTCCAGCAGGAGGGCGCCACGGAGGAAGGTCATCGTCTCCTCTCCTGGAAGTCGGGCTGTTTCCCTTCCACGTCGGGGTTGGAGCTGACTTATGAATGAAGCAGTAATCATTCTGACTAGCACTTGGGGAAAGAGGAGAGAGGACTATGACGACAGCTGCTCCAGTGGACTCTTCCTACTTGCAAAGAAAACTGACCCGGCTTTGGTGGTGCCACCTCCCGTGGCACGCCGGGCTTCCTGGACTCAGAGGATGCCCAGCAGGGTACGGTGACTCGTGGACACAGCGGATGGTGGGTGGGCGGGGCGCCAGCCCTCAAACAGGATATCAAAAAAGGGCACCTGAAATTACCACTTCAGAAAATAAAATGATGTTTACGTACAGAATAACACACTTCTAGTCACACATCCCACCTGTGACATTAATCAGAGCCTTCACCTAGGGCCATATGTCATCTTTTCCACGCCTAGTAGTTTACAGATTTTTTTTTTTACTTTTAAGTGGAAGGAATAAAAAAAAAAAAAAAAAAAACCCAGAGCTGCCCTAAAAGGAATGAGGAAGCAGTTGGTGCTCTCCAGCGTGTGGCTCGACAGTGTGACAGCCCGTGATGTTCTTTCCGGTCCCGTACGTTCTGAATTTCCACCTGCCCGCCCCTCGCTTATAAGGCAGGACGGTGAGGGCAGAGCAGTCCTGTCTGCCTGTGGATTAGCCGGGGTGTCACGCCGTTTCGTTTCTCCCATTCGCCACAGCTCCCCGGAGGCGAAGGAGCCCGGCGGGAGGCCCACCGAGGGTAAGTGTCATCCATTCACAAGACGGGAACACAAACAGCCACACAAACAGCCGCCCCGCAGAGGAGGCAACAGTGTTACAAAGATCCCGAGCACGGGAAGCGGTGTGTCAAGGGGAAGCCTGTGCTTTTAGGGTGTTCTGTAATGTTCCTACAGGAATTCTGTAAATGTTCTCTTTGTTTTAACTCTTCCATATGTCGCATCCCGGGAGTGAACTTTTTCCTTTTCGGGTTGGATGAGCAAATGTATGCGAAGCTCTTAAGATAATACCTGGCACGTAGTGAGTTGTCACTGTACTTATTCAGATTATCTCTTGATGGGAATGTCATAAATGCATAACAAAATGTGTCACGGTGACGATCATCAGGTTTAACTAATTTAGAAATGTGTGTTCAGATGCTGTTCTTAATAGTAGAAGACATCTGGTCACAGACAACTAGACTTTAAATGAACACTTTACGACCTAATAGTTTCTGACTTTGTGCTCTGGCAAAGTGGCACTGAAATGGGCCAGCTTGTCACATCTGTCCCTCCTGATTCTTTGCCATGTGATTCCTCCGTAGGCAGAGCCGCCACTCGGGAGCAGGCATCACGGGCCAGCCGGGCAAGATTCTGATGAAGCTGACAAGCGGCTGCAATGCTGTGTGTACGCCTCTTAGCTTCATTCATCAGATGTTCCAGAGTCGAGTCAAATGTTTACCTAACTCGATTTTTTTCTCTCTTCTAGTCAAAAACACTAAATGCCAATAATATGGAGACATTGATTGAATGTCAATCAGAGGTAAGAAAGCAATTTTTTAAAGTTTTTATCTGCACTATGAGAACAGGGAACACTTTCTGTTTTAATGCAATATTGTTTGGCTTATTTAATTATTAGAGTAAAAAATTAATATCATAAATGCAATATGTTAAACACATTAATAAGGATCTTATATGAACCAACCAAGACTTTGCTGTTGATTCTAGAAGCTAGGAAGAAATCAGTGGGCTCTGTTGACTAATTTTTAATACGAATAATATGTTATGTATGTATTTTGTGAAGAAAGCCTGGGTAGGTTTCTTCAGTTATTATTTTTAATTGAAGTAAATATATTTTTAGGGTGATATCAAGGAACATCCTCTGTTGGCATCATGTGAGAGTGAAGATAGTATTTGCCAGCTAATTGGTGAGTTTTAAAAACATATTGGTCTTTTATGTAACAACAAATGTTCTTGGTTTGCAAAACCACAGTACTGTTACTCTACTAGGAATTTTTTATAAGTGTTCTTTGAAAGACCGCAGAACATTAACCCTTAAATGGCAGGCAGGCTCCAGCTGCAGGGGCACCAGGGCACTGGGACAGAAAAGCTGTAGAGCTGTAGCCAGCTCTCCACAGGTTCTTAGTGGGGCTACAGATCTCCTGGCCATTTATGGTTTGACAATTAAAGCTTGCATACATAGGAGAAACACACAATGCCTTTTCCACTTCCCTCCTTCTGTAATGAAAAGTGAATCAAAGAGCCCATGTAGCAATCACTGCTGATGTCAAATTCCGAAGAACACAGGGTTCGCTGTTCATTTTTTCATAGTGCATTACAGTATAACGTAACCCTGCCCCGGTTCTCCCGAACTTTGAGGACAAGCTACTTCTATCCATCCTCTTCCACTTGCCAGTATAAAATGTATAGAAACATACGCCAATGCATTTAGAATATATGGCTTCTGTAATGGGGAGGGGGAAAGGAGAAGGAAGGAGAGAAGAAGAAGGAAACTTGTGAGAGGCATTGCCCATTGCACACACATCTCCAGGATTCTGCAAGGAGAGGAGATCTTGGTAATGTTCTCTGTTAATTCCCACTTGCCAGGTGTTGGCTCAGGCCTCCCTGCAGCGACGCGTGCTCTCCCTGTCCTAAAGCCGCTACCTCTGAAACCCTAATGGTGGCAGTGACTGCAGACAGGCTGAGTGGTGTAGCTCCCTCTAGTGGCTGGTTGGTGCTCGCGTGGCTGCAGAGGTTTAACAGCCAGCCCAGCTAAGTGTCTTCAAAATGATCTTGTTGAGCAAGTCACTTCCTCTCCTTACAAGTTTCGTTTTCTTCAAAGGAGCACATTAAAATAATATATTTAACAGCACAAATGTCCGCCACAGTTATTAAAGTCAATATGTGAAGATGGTTGTTTATGACCTGCACAGTTAGTTTTCTGCAACAAACAGCGAGCGAAGGATAAAAACAGGAAAGGTGGGGACTGTGAAGAGCCTCGGTGTTGATGTTTAGAGGCTGGTTGCCCTGGTAACATTGTGGTTGTTTTCTGGGTTGGTTTTTTGAGATTAAGATCCATACCCTTTGCTTTCTCAGTTTTTTCAAAAATATTCACCCCACCTGATACCAGAGATGACATTATGTGGCTGACAATACCCGTGGTCTGACACGGACCTTTGTTTGTTAGTGTTTTAATCTAAACTTTCACTTCGCCTTGTTTTCTTGACCGTAGAAATCAAGAAAAGAAAGAAGGTGCTGTCCTGGCCCTTTCTCATGAGAAAGATTTCTCCTTCATCAGATTTTCCTGGGGCTTCGGAGCCAGAATTGAAAGCGTCATTGTTTGATCAGCCCTTGTCAATCATCTGTGGTGACGATGACACACTCCCCAGGCCCATCCAGGTAGGCACGCCTTCCCCTGTGACCCGCTTCAAGCTGCTGCCAGGGGTGAAGTCCTTGGGCAAGCAGAATGTCATCCTCACCTAAATTCGCAGAGGCCAGTCTTCAGTGTTTTCTATCTTTAGAAATGGTGTTCCCGCCTTCGAGTGTGTCAGGACAGTGCCTGGCCGCCTACGTTCTAGAAGGTGGTTGTGTGCTAATTAGCTCAGGTGGATGGCCGCTCTGTCCTTGGCTCCATAGAGCTGAGGAGGCTGAAAATGCGTGACTTCTGGAAAGTCAGCAGAGATGCGGCAGAGCAGATGATCAGAAACCCAGTGTTTATACGGAATGGCCCACGAGGAGGGAGGCCGGAAGTAATTTTAGAGTGTTCAGAACTGGAGCTTTCACAGTTTACCTCCTCTTAGAAAACTGGCAGGGTTGAGGAGGAGTTGACAGCAGCTGGACTGAAAAGGAAAACTGGCTTCCGTAGTCACTTGTTCGTTAAGACTAACTTGTTATCACGCAGAACTAACTTTTATGGAGAGGACATTTCATGACAGGTCAAGTTAGCTACTATTCACATGCACTCTTTTAATTCTCTTTCTCCCACTTAGAGAGTCTTAGTGTACTGGTAGCAAACTGTGTCTTCAAAGCAAGGGTAACTGTTTCCTCTCCTCCGCCTCTGTCCTGTAGGACATTCTCACTCTTCTGTGCCTCAAAGGCCCTTCCACCGAAGGGATATTCAGGAAAGCGGCCAATGAGAAAGCCCGCAAGGAGCTCAAGGAGGAGCTCAACTCGGGCAGCGTGGTGGATCTGAGCGGGCTCCCGGTGCACCTCCTGGCGGTGGTCCTGAAGGTGAGTCCCCAGCCCGGCGCCTCAGGGCCTGCCTGTGGGCTCTGACACGTTACCTTCAGGACACAGGACACGGGCCCTTCTCCCTACAACTCAAAGTGAACTGATCTTGGAGTTTGTTTTAGTTAAGACTTTTATTTACTTATAGAAACATCTGTGTTTCATTGATCCCAGATTCCAGCAGAAAGTGAGGCATTAAATGTCCCCAAAATTTTGAGGAGAAAGACACTTGGGTTTTCCCTTGGCCAAGTCCATACCCCGGAATCTGGGGGCCCCACGACAGTGACCGTACTGTGCTGGCCGTGAGGAAGTTGCTGAGAGACAGCTCAAGAGAGCGATTTCCCGCCAGGCTGAGCAAATGCAGGAAGGAGGGGGCAGAACCGCGGCGGGACAGCATGGGTTCCCTGGGGCGGAACCAAGTGAAGACAGAAGCAGCAGTTCAGCCGCACAGACAGGCCCGCCCTTTCCTCTCCCCCAGGACTTCCTCCGAAGTATCCCCCTGAAGCTGCTGTCCTGCGACCTGTTTGAGGAGTGGATGGGTGCCCTGGAGAAGCAGAACGAGGAGGACAGGATTGAGGCCCTGAAACAGTAAGTCCGGAGAGTCACCGGAGGACTGGCCCCATGGACTCCGCCTTTGCGTTCAGTACGCAGCGGTCAGAGATTTCGTGAAAATTGTGATAATTAGGGGATCAGAATGGAGTTGTTTGTCTGCGCTCAGAATAAAAATCAGGAGTTACCCTGGACATTTACAAAAAGTGTTTCAGCCAAATGAAAGTAGTTCCTTTTCCAAAAACTAGAGCATGAACTTCAGCACAAATCACAAAAGGTGGGGGGTGTCTAAATATATAAGTCGTCCAGGAAAGTATGAGACGGAATCCCAGGTAACAGCTTCAGACAGGCTACCCAGCCAGCGCTAGGAATCGGGGTTTTCTTTAACCCAGACTGAAGTTCTGCAAGGCGACCATTGTCCCGTAAAATGTCCCTTAATGTAGAACAAATCTGGAAGGATTATTTTATTCAGAAAATTCCATAACATATCTCACACTCTCCTAGGTAACCAAAATGAAAGCCATATAAGAACAAATTCCAGTGACAGCGGAAATAATTACATTTGTAAATGAGAATATGACCTGTTAGTAACTAGAGAATCTTCAGTGCCTAACTTTAAAATATCAGTACTTTTGCCAAATCCTATGAAAGTGTGCCTATGTATTATGATTGTTCTATTTTCAATAGAATTCAAGACATTAGAGTGTTTGTCCCAAAATGAGAATCAGTTTTGACTTAAAGACAGATAGCTCTTTCAGAACAATAACTTCGTATGAAAATGACGCATATATTAGAGTCACCATTTCATTTCTTGAAAAAGAGATGCTTTGAAAATCTAATTTATTATTTGTTTAGTAGTGATGTTGCTGTTTGAATGATGCCTTGATCATGGTTATGAACATGCCTTACACACTGATTTCTTCTCTGTAAAGATTTCTCAGAATGGTACAAAAATATCTCATTTTTGTTCCATGATCACAGCTCAGAAAAAGGCAAATGATTGTGTTTAAAAAAATAGTCTTGCAGTATTAGAAACAGACATTCTACATGGCTAAATGATTTATCAAAAAAATTATTTTTAAAACATTAACCCATGATATTTATTGTAGGAGTTAAAGCTTCCTAACCTAAGATCTATATAAATAATAATGGGTTATGTTGTTGGTGCCCTAACCATAAAGATCGGCTTCTTAGGCTGTCACGATGTCTGGCTGACCAGTTTCCTCCCATGTCAGTTGCCCTGGAAGTGTCTGAATGAGGATTTCATAACGTTGCTTGTGAAAGCAGCACCTTCCTCATTTTAAAAGAAGTCCGGGTTAGCCAGAAAGTTTCAGCCTGTTCTCCTAAAGCTAGAAAGACCATCAGCCTCCTCTGAAACCATGTCCCCTGAACTCTGTCCCAGGGTTGCAGATAAACTGCCTCGGCCCAACCTGCTGCTGCTCAAGCACCTGGTCTCCGTGCTCTACCTGATCAGCAGGAACTCCGAGGTCAACAAGATGGACGCCAGCAACCTGGCCATCTGCGTCGGGCCCAACATGCTGACCCGGGAGAATGACCAAAACCTGTCGTTCGAAGCCCAGAAAGACTTGAACCATAAGGTTGGTCCCGGCTGTTTCTGAGGAACTCTCCCTTTATGATCTCACCGTCTGTCCGCAAACCAAGCGATGAAATGCTTCTGAGTGTCTGACTGGTCGCGGTCGCAGTGAAGTGGGACACGCAGCACACTCGCCACAGCTCCGCTTCAGACGTGTCCGTTCAGTGAAGCTGACTGAGCCTAGGCCCTGTGCTGTGTCGCCTAGAAGACGGAGCTTAGTGCTTCTGACTTCCACCTCACCACCCTCCAGGACAGAAAGGCCCGTTCATTGCTGTCCTCTGCCCGCCACACTCCGTCCAGCCCCACAATGAGAAACTCCTTAAAGTGAACGACTCAGTTCCTTTAAAGTAAAAGTTTTTTTTATTCTCCAAAAAAAATGCCTGTCTCAAAACTAACTGTAATATAGATGATTGTTACCAAATTTTCTGGATGCTCTTCCCAGACACATAAAATCTCTTGGCTCATTTGGGCACCTCCCTAACAGTTGACCTTGCTGTGTCTCCCTCCCTTTAAAAAAAATAAAGATGACTTGAAGCTAACAATCTGCTCATTTGTCCTCACAGGTTAAGACTTTGGTGGAATTCCTCATCGATAACTGCTTGGAAATATTTGGGGAGAACATTCCGGCGCATTCCAGTACTGCTTCCGACGACTCCCTGGAACACACTGACAGCTCAGGTGCACAACGCGTTGTCGGTCACTTCCACCGCGTCCACCCCTCGCTTCCACCAATCCCACCCCTCGCTTCCACCGCGTCCCACCCCTCGCTTCCACCAATCCCACCCCTCGCTTCCACCGCGTCCCACGCTTCCACCAATCCCACCCCTCGCTTCCACCGCGTCCCACCTCTCGCTTCCACCAATCCCACCCCTCGCTTCCACCGCATCCCACCCCTCGCTTCCACCAATCCCACCCCTCGCTTCCACCAATCCCACCCCTCGCTTCCACCGATCCCACCGCTAACTTCCACCACATCCCACCCCTCACCTCCACCGCGTCCCACCCCTCGCTTCCACTGCGTCCCACCCCTCGCTTCCACCAATCCCACCCCTCGCTTCCACCGCGTCCCACGCTTCCACCAATCCCACCCCTCGCTTCCACCGCGTCCCACCGCTCGCTTCCACCATGTTTATACCTGCAGACTTTGCTCTCGAATCTTCCTGCACTGTCTCCTTAGGCTGCAGACTCATTGGGTGGAGCCTGGAACGTCCCTGCCTGTTCTAAACTTTTGTTTATAAACTTTCATTTCCACAAATGAAATATGGGTCCTTTAAAATGGAAATGGCCCGAGAAAAGAGCCATTAAAAGGCTGTTTAAATTTAAGATTAATAAAATTTTTAGCGAAATGCTACCTTTTCTCTTTTTTCATGCCCATCTCTACCTCGATAGAGTAGATTTAAAAATTTAGTGTTGCAAATATCATTTGTTTCAAACCCCAAAGTAGCTTCACCAACTTACCTAGGGTCATCCTTAATATAAGTGGGATGAACTGTACCAGAGTTTATTTCTTAGAACCTGAACATAAAGCTCAACTGTCCTTTCATTTCTGCAGAAACGTCAACCCTGCAGAACGACTCGGCCTACGACAGCAATGATCCAGACGCGGACTCCAGCAGTGCCATCAGCTCTCCGGGCAGGCTGCCCCCCGCGCCCGCGGAGACAGCAGCCGGCGTGGAGCCCAGCAACCTGCCGTGTGCTTGGAACTTAAGCCGGGAGCCCATCGCCAGCACTGTGGCCAGACTGAAAAGCTCCCTCTGTGAACCGGACAGGCGATACTCAGAACCCAGCATGTCATCCTCCCAAGAATGCCCAGAGAGCCGGAAAACGAACCAAAAACTAACACGCAGTGAGGATGACTTCACTAGGGCCCAACCAGCCTCCCACTTTGAAAGTGGGGAAGCTGAGGACCCCTTTGCAGAGGAGGTGTTTCCTGCAGTTGAGGGCAAAACCCGGAGGCCTCAGGACCTGAAGGTGCAGAACTCGACCCAGGGTTTGGCGTCACTGTGGGGATCGGTGCCCAAAGCCTGCTCCAGTGGCTCTCTGGACACCTCCTCTGACAGCTCACCGGTGGCTTCTCCCTCCAGTCCCAAGAGAAACTTCTTCACCAGACATCAGTCTTTTACAAAGACTGATAAAAGTAAGTCCAACAGAGAAATTAAAAAGCATTCCATGTCGTTCTCCTTTGCCTCTCACAAAAGAGCGCTGACCAAAACCCCCAGCTTGATGTCTGTGAAGTCCAAAGCCTTTGCCAGAGACCAAGTAAGGAAAGGAATGAAAAAAGAAAGCCAACTTGCTGGACGAATAGTGCAGGAAAACTTCCCTGAAACCCCCGGCCAAGGAGCCCTAGACTTGAGCTCCAGACCCTGTGCCATGTCGGCGGAGGACGTGTTCCGCCTGGTGGACCAGAGAAGGCCCGGCAGCCCGCCCTCTTACCAAGAGGCCATGCGGTGCCAGGAGCTCACTGCCCACCGGAGCCAAACAGTTGGCAGCATGCGGGCCAGAATGCTCAGCCTGGACACCGGGCTGCCGCCACGTCTGCCTTTTCACCACGGAGGGGACCCAAACATGTGCAGCCAAGAGCCACGTGACGGGCACAGGCTCGCTCCCAGGACTGAGAGCTGGAAACAGAGCGGGGCTGTCTGTGCTCCTGTGGAAACGATAAGACAAGTGACTGTCATTGGGAGACCCGAGCTGCACCGGCTGCGAACTGTGTCCGAGTCCAAGCAGAGGAGCAAGTGGGACGGCCCGGTGAGGCGATGCAGCCAGCCGGTCTTCGAGGCCGAGCAGCTCCAGTATGCCAAGGAGTCCTACATTTAGGAAGGCGGCCAGGCGCCCGGCACGGCAGCTCCGCAGCGCGTGGCTGCGTCAGCAGCTGCTTCCAGACTGTTCTGGAAAAGTCAAGAATAAGCTCCTTTCGAGACATTGTACAGAGACCTCCTCAGAGAGGACAGCCGCACGTGGCCTCGGTGCCGTCTCGTGTCCCTGGAGCTGTGCACAGAGCGCGAATGGACAGTGTTCCGGACAAGGCGTCAAGTCCATGTAAATACGTGTCTGTGCACTCGGGGTACACGCGTTGCTCTTCTCCGCCTCCGGGCTCTTTTCTACCAGTCAGTGTCTAAGAATAATGTTTTTTAATGTTGCCTCATGTCATGCCAATTTCCGCATTTTCCACAAGCTCCATTTAAGGGAAAATGTTTAAATCTGTCAGAAGTTCCCTAGCAGCAGTGGAATGACAGAAGGGAGCTGCAGACTGCAAGCTGCCAGGGTCCACGTGGGGACCGTCAGGGTCATCGCGCTGGGGACCGTCAGGGTCATCGCGTTGGGGACCGTCAGGGTCATCGCGCTGGGGACCGTCAGGGTCATCGCGTTGGGGACCGTCAGGGTCATCGCGATGGGAACCGTCAGGGTCATCGCGATGGGTCATCGCGCTGGGGACCGTCAGGGTCATCGCGCTGGGGACTGTCAGGGTCATCGCGATGGGAACTGTCAGGGTCATCACCAGGGAAAGGAAATACTTCCACGCGTCCTTCCAATCGTCTGACTTTTAATCGGTAGGTCAGTGAAAATGCATTACGTCCGTGTTAATGGATTTACAGCACTTTGAGTTTCCTTGTGGTTCAGGGGTGCCTTCGCCAGTAGTGTGGAGGGTGTCACTTTATATGCATTGGAGTCATGTATAAAACTTCAGTATAATCTCACTACAGCAAACCGCCTGCCTTTTTCAGAGTAAAGTGTTCCTTCTCCACTGACATGCTGCTTCCTTGCCCTCTGTTCTCAGACCCCAGGAAAGTCATTCACACAGTGATCCACTCAGCAGGCCTCTACTGAACATGTATTTATTAGTTTGACCCATGGGCAAAGCTGGGGATCTTGTGTTTGGGGAAAGAGACAATCCCTGTCCTCCAGTCATTGGCAAAACCATAAAACCGTCCCCTTCAGCATATGGTCACTCAGAGGCCAGAAAACTTACTATGCAAAACGGGAATATAGCAAACATAATATTTCCTGGTTTTCTGTGCATGACACTTTTGGGTACTTTGCTTGATTTTCTCATAAAACTGCATTTTTTATTGTTAAAGACACAGCTCTGCGTTGGCTGACTGCGAGGGCGAGGGTCCGCTTTCTCCGGGGCGGTTTGTTACTAATGTAACAAAGTTCAAACTTGTATCTCGGGTTGCAAAGCAGCAGTTCAGACCCAGTAACATCATTAGGAATACTTTGTTAAGCACCACTGAATAGTTCTCAGGGCAGACTCCCGCCTCTGAGCTAAGTTAAGAAAAGCAACCCTTTCCCAGAGTTGGACAATAACAGTAATAGTTACAATTTTTAGCATCTACCATGTGGCCAGCACTGTGCTAAGTATTTCAGGACTGAAGAGGTTTTTTCCATCATGTTTTTAGCATCCTCTTTTTGAGAATCAGAGCATTCCCATCAGTTGATGAGCAAGACCGTAAGCTAGGAAGCCTCCAATCTATTCCACTTTACCGCTGATCTGACCTCCACGCGACCTACTCAGACCACGCAAACCCCACCCCAGATTTCCTCATTTCGAGAAAGCAGGAGTAGACCAGAAGCCTTCTACCTGTGACGTGTGAGGAGTCCGGTTGCTGACAGACGTCCGTGAGTTTCTTGCAGTCGAGCAAATGTCATTGTTGGGACAGTCTCCGGACAGGGAGACAGGTCGGGATGGTTCCCAGTGCTGCAGAGGTGGCCCCACTCCCCTCCACAGAGCCCCGGGCCTTTCCAACGGCCGCCCGGCCTGGGCTGAGCAGATGAGCCCGCAAGGCCGCCGCGGGCAGGTGTCTCAGACAGCAGAACTGTGCCGTCCCCGCTGCAGAGGCTGGAACTGAAATCACGGTGTCGGCAGGGCCGGTTCCTCTGAGGGCCGTGGGAGGAGCTGTCCCGAGCCTGTCTCCTTGGCTGTGGATGGCTGTCTCTCTGTGTCTCTGTCCCCAAATTTCCCTTTCTTCTAGGGACACCAGTCATATTGGGTTAGGGTCCTCTCTAATGACCTCATTTTACCTCTTCAAAGTCCCATTCTGAGCTACTCGGAGTTAGGACTTCAACAGATACATTTGCAGGGTGGGGGGAAGGGCGGGCACCCACAACAGCCCGTTTCACGGCAGAGACTGACCGACGCCTTGGTCACACCAACAACCCGTCACTTCCCCGTAAACGGCCCACACTGACAGTGAAATGTAAGTGATATTAGAACGACGCTTCGGTCCCCTGGGGCCTCCTCAGGGCCATTAGTCCAAATGGAACCATCACAAACGGACCTGACACCCAATGCCAGGTGTATGGTAAAACCAGGTTGGAAGTCAAGGCCCAAGCGACCTAAATCCAGGTCTGCTCCCCAGCCTCCGAGCCTCTGGGCCTCCCCGTCCTCCTGCTCTACCTGCCGGGCCCACCTCGCTTCGGAGGAGCCCGGCCGTCTTACCAACTGAGGGACGGGAGGCACGGTCAGTTACTGTGCCCACTGGCGAACACCCAGCATCAGTGTCCTGGAATCTGACAGCACAGACTAGATCTCCCCTTGGGGAAGGTAGGACGTTTTCTCTCCTCCTATACAGGGGGGGAGGGGTAGGTGGCCCCATGCCATGGCCAGCTTCCCACATGATACACTGTGACACCTGGACCACCTGTGATGACACTCTGTGCCCACCCCACCCCAGCACTACCTACGACTTGGTCCAGAAATGTTGACTTGGGGTGTGTGCACCAGAGCTGAGCAAAACTGCAGTCGCACCAGAGCCCAAAGCAAATACAACACAAGTGTGACACGGGTCCCCTGGGCAGTTGAAGTGGCAGCCATGGCTTGTAGTGCGAATAAAACAGACCATGGTTCATGCCACGGTGCCCCCCACGGCGTAGAACGCCCAAAGCACCATGAACACTTGACCTTAAGGCGCCACTGAAAAGACATGTTCTGGCTGAATTTCCCTGACTGTGGTCTCACCGCAAGGACTGCCCGTACCTGCCCTCTTCCTGAGGGGTCGAGTAGCCAGAAACCCACATCAGATAGGATCGCACGTATTCTGAGTATTTTAATTGAATTATGTAAGATTTGAACTCTATCTGCAAAGGGCAAATTATTGAGGAATCAGAGTGCAAATATTTCATTAGAGGTAGAAACAGATCACCTCCTGGCAATATTTTAACTATAGAAGAAGACTCTGCACGTGTCCACTCCCAAGTACAAATTACGCGTGAAGGAGGAAAGACCACCAGATGAAGGGCTGCCTCCCCCCGTGACAGGTCACAAAGAGGAGGTGTTACCAGAGACACACCCATGGAATGCAGAAAGGAAACACGGCCCTGTAACATCTCTAGGAAAAGGAAGTCAGTGTGTTGGCTCAAGGAGGAGTGAGACCCAAGTCCCCAGAACCTGAGTCCACACCCTAAATGCGCTACCTCGGCCCCGGTACAAACTGGGCCACAGCTCCATGTCCAGAAGATGGGAAGCTCATAGCGCTGCACCAGAGTGGAATGAGTGTAACAGAAAACCCAGACGACAGAAGTTTGTGCAAGAAGGGGGTTGTGCTCTCTATTAAGAGGTCAGGCAGCTGAGGGCTGGCACTGTGCCTCCCTGACATCCTCGGGCCCTTGCTTCTTCATGACCAGGGCCAGCCTCGTGGGTGAGCAACCCACGCTTCCAAGGGCCCAGTGTTGGAGTTGATACTCCACTGTCACAACACATATTCATTCTGTGCTGCCCCCTACACATTATGTAACTAATCTCGTTCACGCTATCTAGTCTTCTTGTCCCCATCCTTTCTGTGAGTTAGATCCTCCTCCAGCCTGGCCCTCCAACTCCAGGCAGGAATTCTCTTGATCAGTAACTTCTACCTCCATCCCAGTGGCCAGACTCAGTCACATGGCTACTCCTACCTGTCGAAGAGGCTGGGAAATACAGTTTTCTCACAGACACATTGCCTCCCCCCAACAAAATCAGTAAGAAGAAAGGGGAAAATGGGGAGGAGGACTATTAGCCTTTGGCACAAAAATCAAATAAAAGAGATCATGGCCCTGGTCAGTTTGGCTCAGCGGTTAGAGCATCGGCCTGTGGACCAAAGAGCCTAGGGTTCAATTCCAGTCAAGGGCATGTACTTCAGTTATAGTTCTGTCCCTGGCCCTGGTCGGGGTCATGCAGGAGGCAACCAATCGATGTGCCTCTCTCACATCGATGTCTCTCTCTCTCTCTCTCTCTCTCTCTCTCTCTCTCTCTCTCTCCATCTGAAGATAAATGAAAAAATATCCTCAGGTGAGGATTTAAAAAAAAAGAGAGATCACGGATATGGTACAACATATACCAAGGTAGTTCCTTTAATCGTAGAAAGCAGGATAAAACACAGACGATGTGTTGAATATGATATGGGATAATATAAAAATAAGGCAGATAATCTCAAAGTATTTCAATTATTCATATGCACACTGTGAAAATTGTATAATTATAAAAGAGTAGTTTTAAGTAAAATCAATTAACAAATTACTTGACCTCCTACAATATAAAAGATACTGTACTTGCACAAGGAATTTATAATCTAGTAAATAAGACACCCTTGAAGGCAAAGGTAAGTTCCAAATGAGTGATAACAACATAAAGAGAACAGTAGAAATGATTTCTTTGTGGTCTAATTAAATTTAGGAAATGTTTCAAATTTAAAGGAGCTTCTATATGAAATCCCAAAGTCAATAATGAAAGAGTTCAACCAAACGCAAGGTATTTGAAGTGGTCATGAGAGGTTCCAGGTAAGCATTTACTTATTTGATTGAACCATATTATCTTTGAGAAGGAAATAAACTTTTTCCCCCTATCTTGGCTGAAAAAGGTATTTCCTATACAAAAGTGTCTTGGAGAATACAAAATATTAGATAAAATAACTACTAATATATGGAATGTTTCTCTTTTCAAAACAACACTTACATCTTGTTACTTTCCTTACCAAAGATCTCCATGGCTTCTTAATGCTATTTTTATCAAGTCTAAAATCCTCTGCCTTCCACCTACCATTCAAGGGCCACCTTAATCTAGTCCCATCCTAGGTAGCCAAACTTATTTCTTTCCTTAACTCTCAAGTGGCTTTCTAGCATACATAATAATGATAATAATAGCTAATATGTACATACACTGCCTTTCAGAACTTGAGATATAGCTAAAGCGGTGTTCAGAGGAAAATTCATGTCCTTATATAAACGATTTTCAATTGGTGTGCCCCAAGAATTTTTAAGACATGTAATACCTGACTATTTAGTCAGAGGCACTGACCTCTTTTCCCTTAGATTGTGAAATAAAAAAATAACAACAGCCAACACAACAATAACCATCCAGTGTGAATGAATCAAAATTATACCTATCTTTTTGTCAGATTGTCAAAAACTATAATATAATATGATATATAATATAATATATTTAAAATATATATTATATTAAAATAATATGAAATATAATATATATTTTGGTATGCCACCGAATTTTAGTAATTAGTTTATGTGTGCTATGAGATGAAAAAAATTGAAAATCACTGCATTATATAATTATATATTAATAAATAAAAGTGAATGAATTTAGCATTCCATTCACGAAGTTAGAAAAGGAATAATAAAAATAAAGTTGAAATTAATGATTGAAGAACAGAGAAAAAAGTAGACCTGATCAATAAAATCAAAGCTGCCTCTCTGAAAACAAACTTCTGCCTAATCTAACAAGGCAAAGAGAGAAATCAAAAACACACATGAGAAATGATCACAGAAACTGCAAAATTAAAGGACTCCTTTGCTGAACTCCATGCAAATGCACTTGAAAATGTGAATGAGATTATCATTTTTCTAGAAAAATATAATTTACCAACCTAATTCCAGAAGAAAAAAACCTAAACAGATATATTTCATGTGAGAAACAGAGCAAGTTGTCAAAGACTTGGCTAGCCCCTCCCCAGATCACCAAGTGGTTTTAGAAAAATATAATTTACCAACCTAATTCCAGAAGAAAAAAACCTAAACAGATATATTTCATGTGAGAAACAGAGCAAGTTGTCAAAGACTTGGCTAGCCCCTCCCCAGATCACCAAGTGGTTTCACAGGGATGTCTCCCAAATCTTTAAAGAACAAACCATTCCAATGCAATTTAAACTCTCTAGACCAAAGGAAAACTTTTAAATTACATTTTAAAGGCAAGTATAACAGTACTACCAAAACACAGCAACAATTCCACGCAAAAAAAATAAAATTACAGCTCAATCTTGTGAATAGCAATGAAAAAAATCCTAAATAAAACCCCAGCAGATAGAATATATGAAGACTGACTGGCATCAGCACAGGAAGGCAAGTGTGATCCAACATAGAAAATTTACTAACACAAGTCATCATTTTAGTAAGTCGTAGGGAAAATATAATCAGCCCCACAGATCCTAAAGGGCACCTGTCAAAATTCAATCTCCAGCCCTGGCCGGTTTGGCTCAGCGGTTAGAGGGTCGGCCTGCGGTCCTGAGAGACCCAGTTCAGTTCCCGCTAAGGGCACGTACCTCGGTTGCAGTTTGTCCCCGGCCCTGGTCGGTTGTGCGGGTGGCAGCCACTCGATGTGTTCCTTTCGCATCGATGTTTCTCTCTCTCTCTCTGTTCCTCTCTCTCCGTCCCACTCTACCTGAACAAAAAATGGAAAAATGTCCTCAGGTGGGGATTAAAAAAAAAAAAAAAAATTCAATCTCCAGTACTAAATGTTTTAATCTTTAATGAAACAGAAATCAATAAATATAATTT